AAAAAAAAAAAAAAAAAAAGAAAAAGAAAACCAACTTTATGAGCTGCACAATGAATTAAAACAAAGGGGTTGGGCGGTGCCTGTGGCCCAGTGAGTAGGGTGCCAGGCCCATATATCAAGGGTGGCGGGTTTGAACCCAGCCCCGTCCAAACTGCAACAAAAAAAATAGCTGGGTGTTGTGGCAGGCGCCTGTAGTCCCAGCTACTCGGGAGGCTGAGGCAAGAGAATCACCTAAGCCCAAGAGCTGGAGGTTGCTGTGAGAAGTGATACTACAGCACTTTACTGAGGGCGACAAAGTGACTCTGTGTCTAAAAAAAAAACAACAAAGGGGTTAATTTCACTGTTATTGACACTGATTGGCAAATCTTGGATTTTAAGGCTACAGAGCACTCCTGGTTGTCAGCAGTCGCCTTCATCAGGAAGGACTTAACTCACTCGCCCTCCTGGCTGGTTGTGAGTAGCACCGGATGTTAGAACAGTGGTCCATCAGTGGTTAAAATCACCTGGATGTCTAATTAAAAGTTTTGACTACCAATCCTGCTCCCAAGAGTGTGACCCAATAAATCTGACATGAAAACTCAGGAGCCTGCATTTAAACAAGCGATTCTGAAGCAGGTGGTCCCAGGACCACACATTAAGACAAAGTGTTTTTGGCTTGGCGCCTGTAGCTCAGTGATTAGGGCACCAGCCACATACACTGAGGGTGGTGGGTTTGAGCCTGGCCCGGGCCAGCTACACAACAATGACAACTGCAACAAAAAATAGCTGGGTGTTGTGGCAGGCACCTGTAGTCCCAGCTACTTGGGACGCTCAGGCAAGAGAATCACTTAAGCCCAAGAGTTGGAGGTTGCTGTGAGCTATGATGCCACAGTACTTTACCAAGGGCAACATACTAAGACTCTATCTCAAGAAAAAAAAAAGAAACCAATAACCGTCCATTAAATACAGAATACAGTATGTAACCATGTAGGATTTACTTTCTTCAGTATAGTTCTCTGGAGATCCATCCAGGTTGTTATATTTATCAACAGTTCATTCCTTTTTTACTGCTGAGTAGCATTTAGCAGTCAGTGGTGCACCACAGAGTATTCAATCACTTACCCATTGAAAGATATCTGCTATAAACATTTGTTTTAAACATTATAAGCCTTCATTTCCCTGGGATAAATGCCCAGGAGAGCAATTGTTGGGTTGTTTTACAGTTACAAATTTAGTTTTTTCCCGAGTGGCTATAACATTTAAGATTTCTGAGTCCTTTAACTATTTTTACATATCTTTTCCTTTTTTTTTTTTGAGACGGAGCCTCAAGCTGTCACCCTGGGTAGAGTGCCATGGCATCACAGCTCACAGCAACCTCCAACTCTGGGGCTCAAGTGATTCTCCTGCCTCCGCCTCGCAAGTAGCTGGGATTACAGGTGCCTGCCACAACGCCCGGCTATTTTTTGGTTGCAGCCATCATTGTTTTTGGCAGGCCTGGACTGGATTCAAACCCGCCAGCTCAGGTGTATGTGGCTGATGCCTTAGCCGCTTGAGCCACAGGTGTCGAGCCTCAATGTTTTATTCTTTTGGGGGGAGGTTTAGAAGTTCCTCCAAGACAGCCTATATTCCTTGTATGGTTTTATTACAAAGTGTATAAATAACTCAATGATAGAAACATGGTCTACCACCCCCTCCGTGTTCTCCAATAGGACTTTCTGCAGTGATATAGCAGCTTTCTGTATCAGTGCTGTCCAATTTAGTGGTCACTAGGCAATACAATTAATGTCCAACTGTGCATCGTATAGCATAGATGTATATCACCCAAACAGGACAAAAACCTGGTCAAACTATTGTCTCTATTACAGCTCCCCCAACCATGCATGTGTATTTGTCTCTTCATTTTTAGAACTCTATATTCTGTATAGCAGATTACTTCCCCAGTATCCCTCTAGAAAGTTAGATCATCAGCACACTCCCAAGTTAAGTCTTCATGGTTTAAAGTAGTAATAAAGATAGCTAACATTTCGGTAGTACTTATGTCTTTTTTTTCTTCTCACTTTGTCACCCTCAGTAGAATGCCCTGGCGTCATAGCTAACAGCAATCTCAAACTCTTGGGCTCACCCAATTCTCTTGCCTCAGCCTCCCAAGTAGCTCAGACTATCAGCACCCGCCACAACACCTGGCTATTTTTAGAGATGGGGTCTTGCTTTTGCTCAGGCTGGTCTCAAACTCCTGAGCTTAGGCAATCCGCTCGCATTGGCCTCCCAGAGTTCTGGGATTACAGGCGTAAGCCACAATGCCTGGCCTTGCATGTGATCATTTTTAGCAAACTTTAGCAAATTTGAGGGTAGAAATGAGGACTGGGCTGATACTTGACTAACATTCACCAAGAACTCATTATAAGCTGGCTTATGCTTCCAGTTCATATTCATAGATAATCAAGCAGAACTCAAGACAGATCCCTTAAAAGGAGATTCTATTTACCTTTGTACAATACACACACTGGTACGGTCTGTCTCCAGAGTGGACTCTCATGTGTTTGTTCAGGCTGGAAGACTGGGAGAAACATTTCCCACACGTAGAACACTGAGACGAAAAAGGAAAAAATACAGCTGAAATCATGTCTTCCCCAACAGGTCCATTTCAACATTGCATTTTCATGGGGGTGAGAGAAGAACTCCTATATTTATTTTGCATATGTCTGTAGATAGTAGATTGCCCTCCCCAAGCTGAGGGTCTACCTGAGACAGTAGAAAGGTATCTGTACACTGAGAAAATCAGGCAGCATGGGCTCTGGTCAAGATGCTGCCCAATGCTGTCACAAGTGCCAATGTGGTGACTTACGGGAATTCATAGAACATCTTTGGGTATCAGTTGCTTCCAATGTGAAATGTGGGAAGTGGTCTGAATTAATCCTGCTCTGCCAACAAGTAGCTGTGTGACCACAGCAATCAGTGAAAGTTGGAATCTTTGTTTGCCAATCTTCCTTGTGGGCAAAGTAACCTGCTCTGCCTTCCTCACAGGGCTGTGAGTACATTGCAAGTACCATGCAACGTACTCAACAAGAATTTATGGAGTACGCCCTACTGTATGCTTAACCCAGTGCTAGAAATCAGGAGCTAAACCCAGTGGGGGTGATGGTGACTGTGCAAATCAAAATGGCGTTACAGCATGGCAGACAGTTGTACCTACAAGAAAAGGTTAAAATTTGGGGGGGGGGGTGTCACTATGGACGACTTTTGTCATGTCTCTATAGTCTAAGGTACTCCACACCCGGAGAAGGAGCTAAGAGAGGGACACAACCACAGAGAGGCTGCCAGCAACAGAACACCGATTTGGGGCATCATTTTAAAAGAAATTACATTCACTAAAAAGGAAAAACGATTTTCCTCTGAGAAAGGTTTTTTGTGTGTGTGTTTGTTTTTTTGAGACAGAGTCTCAAGCTGTTGCCCTGTGTAGAGTGCCGTAGTGTCATACATAGCAACCTCCAACTCTTGGGCTCAAGCGATCCTCTTGCCTCACTTTTCTATTTTTAATACAGACAGGGTCTTGTTTTTTGCTCAGGCTGGTCTTGAACTCATGAGCTCAGGCAATCCACCAGATTCAGCCTCCCAGAGTGCTAGGATTACAGGCGTGAGCCACCTCGCCCGGCCTCTGAGGAAGGTTTTCATACTTCCACTCCCTGCTCCCCACGTGTACTTTTATCGGAACCGGAGAGAGCAGGTCTTTGTAGATGGTAGGATTTGGGATGTATCTTGTCTTAAACTTTTCTGACCTGCTTGAAGTTTTAATGATCATCTATTATTGTTACTGGAAAAAAAATATGGACCAGGAGCTGTGGCTCACAACTGAAATCCTAGCCCTTTAGAAGGCCAAGGCAGGTAGATTTCCTGAGCTCAGGAGTTTGAGAGCAGCCTGAACAAGAGCGAGAGCCCATCTCTACTAAAAATAGAAAAACTAGCTTGGGCATTGTAGCAGGTGCTTGTAGTCCTAGCTACTCAGGAGGCTGAGGCAAAAGGATCACTTGAGCCCAAGAGTTTGAGGTTACTGTAAGCTATGACACTACAGCACTCTACCCAGGGTGACAGAGTTAGACTCTGTCTCAAAAATAGAAAAAGAAAGCCTCAGTGCCTGTAGCTCAGTGACTAGGATACCAGCCATATACACGGGAGCTAGTGGGTTCGAACCCAACCCGGGTCTGCCAAACAACAATGACAACTGAAGCAACAACAACAACAACAAAATGGCTGGGCGTTGTGGTGGGCTCCTGTAGTCCCAGCTGCTTGGGAGGCTGAGGCAAGAGAATTGGTTAAGCCCAAGAATTTGGGGTTGCTGTGAGCTATGATACCACAGCACTCTACTGCGGGTGACATAGTGAAATTGTCTCAAAAAAAAAAGGAAAGGAAAAGAAACTATCCTTGGAAAAAACAAATCAAGAACAAAAAAACCATGGAGGGCGATTAGAAAATTCCTTTGTGCTTAGGACTTCCAGATTGAAATAATCCACTGGCCAGACACAGTGGCTCATACCTGTAATCCTTGCACTGTGAGAAGCCGAGGCAGGAGGACCACTTGAACTGAGAGGAGTTTGTGACTAGCCTGAGCAAGAGCCAGACCCCATGTCTACTAGAAATAGAAAAATTGGCCAGGCATTTTGGTGGGTGCCTGTAGTCCTAGCTACTGAGGAGTCTGAGGCAGGAGGATCATTGGAGCCCAGAAGTTTGAGGTTGCTATGAGCTAGGCTGATGCCAAAGCACTCTAGCCTGGGCAACAGAGTGAGACTGTGTCTCAAAAATAACCCAAACAAACAAAAAAAAGAGTAAAAGAAAAGAAAAAAGAAACTAAATTTATAAATTAATTAATTAATT